GAAAGTATAGTAATGCACTGCTTTTGTCATCCTGCAGGTGAGTAGACTTGAAAGACTAAAAGATTCCAGAGGGATTAAAAATAAAATCTACTAATCTAACTGCTTAACACAGAAGGGTATCTTCTAGGCATTTAGTTAAAAATATGAATGAAGAAATGCAGACAGAGTCTCTGTCTAAGATCACAACCATCAGTGAAGGGTTTCTTTCTTTCCTCATATTAATTTTTCCCAACTGGACATTTTTTCTTCTTTTGCAAGTCTGAAGACTCAAAAGAGTGCAGGATGCCTTCAAAGTCTATCTGGTCCATTCACCTGGCTCCAGGAAAGGCCTCATTAAATCAAATTTAATGAAGAGGTGACTGCTCTTACTTAAACTTCTCCCTTGACATTCCAATGACTTAAAATCTTCCACCGGAAATTCTTTCTGTCCACTCAAAAGTCTCCTCCCTAAGCCTTCCTTCCTTTGGGCCACTCTCAGAGGGGATGGGATGGCAGCTATTTGTGTAGAATGCACAGTAACACTTCATATATTTGAAAGCAGATAAATCCCTCTTAATGATTGTCTTCCTGAAGCTAAAATCCCCCTCACTTTCACCCCATCCCTCCAGTTCCTTGACAGCTCTTGCAATGGCTCTGCTACCTGTGTCTTCAGCCTTTGCTGGAGTGCATGAAATCCTAATCAACTATAGTTAACAATTTTCTATCAGGAGATTCTCTCTGACCACAAGGTAGCAGAAGTGCACCCTAAGAGGCTATATAGGGAAAGAAGATCAAGAACTAGAAACAAGGAAGTAGTAAGAATCCAGGAGCTGGAGAAAATTCTTCTTAGGGAATTAAGCAGGCATTGGCAGATGGAAGTAGGAATTCTTCCAGAAAAGAAAGTTTATCAGTGTGTTCTAAGAGGAAATAGAGGCGGAAGAAGGAGATGAATGAATTAGTTTTGATCAGTGTTTTTCAAAGTGGTTCTAGGACCATTCAGTATCAGCATCTCTGGTGCATTCGTTTCATAGGGCTGTGGGAACAACTAACAAAATCTGGTGGCTTAAAACAATAAGACTTATTCTCACACTGTGGCTGAGGGTAGAAGTCTGAAATCCAGGTGACAGTAAGAGCATACTCTTTCTCTGGAAGTCACCAAGAAAGGACCTGTGCCGTGCCTTTTTCTTAGTTTATGGTATTACTAGAAGTCATGGGCACTCTTTAAATTGTAGACTCATCACTCCTGTCACTGCCTCTGTTGTCACATGATCTAGGTATCCCCCTAAGTCCTCATGTGCTCATAGGTGGGGTTTTTCAGAGCTGGCTTGATCTACAGCATGTGGTACTGGGATTGAGCTTGTTTGGTACTAAAATAGTCCTCTGGTTTAGCATAGTTGTAGGTAAGTGTGAATAATGGGAAGGCCCACCCTGGGTTTGGGTGCCATCATCCAAAAGGCTTATAGCCTGGATGGGACAAAAGGGAAAAGAAGGCTTTTTTGATTCTTCTTGCCTGCCCTGCCATGAACTGTTTCTCCCCTCCTGTGCCACCCTGCCTTGGAGCCAGGTGACAATGAACTGAAACCTCTACAAACTCTGAGCTGAAATAAACCTTTCCTCCTTAACCTTGTGAGTATCAGATATTTTGTCCCAGCAAATAAAAAACTAATAAAGGTAGTGTTCTTTCCCATGTCTCTGTTTTTGGGTGTTTTATAAGGATATTGATCAAACTGAATTGAGAGCCAAGCCTACTCCAGTATGACTTCTTCATAACTAATTACATCTGCAATGTCTTATCTCTTAATAAATTCTTATTTTGAGATCACAGGAAGGACATTAATTTTGGGTGTGCTACGCTAGTATTTTCCCCTAAAATCTTTATGTTGAAGTACTAACCTCCAAGATGGTGGAAGTTAGGAAGTGAGGCTTTTGAGAGTTAATTAGATCATGAGGGATCCATGCCCTTACAAAGGAGATCCCAGAGAGAGCTCTTGTCCCTTGCCAGCGAGTAGCTAGCTGTCTCTGAAGAAGTTGGCCTTCATTAAATAACACCTTGATCTTAGACTCCAGAACAACCAGTATGATAAATAAATTACTGTTGTTTTTAAGCCCAGTGATCTAGTTTTAACAGCCTGAATGGACTAAGATGGGCAAATATTATCCAAACCTGTATTCCTCAGAATTACTATAACTGCAAATTTTTGGTTCTACCTAAGACCCATTCACTCAGAAGCTCTTTTGTGGGGGGCGGTGACAGAGATCGAACTCAGGACCTTGCACTCGCAAAGCAGGTGGTGCAGCCACTGAGCTAAATGCCCAGCCACTACTCAGAAGCTCTTAAAGAGAAGCCTAACAAGCCATTTTTAAGAACCCCAGGGGATTCTGATGCTTGGAAAATTTTAGAATCTCTGATTTTAATGCAACTGAGGGATTTTCTAAAACACACTAATATCTCCTGACCCAGAGAAACAGAAGAATATCCCCAGCAACATCTGAAGCTTCATGGATCAACTTCTGGGCCACTTCATACAAAATTGGATCTACAACGAACTTTGGTGGAAAAACATTATTTTATTTTACTATGAATAGGTTTCGAGACTGCCTTGCACATATAAATCTGGGCCTGATATGTGGCTGTTTTCTGTCATCCTGCCCTCAGGGACAGTCTGAGAAAAGCTCTGAGTGGAAAAGAGCTGATCTTGGACCACAGTTCATAAAGGACCCTTCCATCCTACCAAGAGGACTTGTCCCTGACCTGAAATATCACATAGGGTCCTGAGGGAAGTCACCTCCAGAATCCAAGCAAAGCCCCAGAGTCTGGCAAAGTTAGAGATCAATGCAGAAATGGTAAAGCTGGGGATCAAGATAGTCAAGCAGGAAAACACACCAAGTCTTCAGCCCACAGGAAGAAGAGAAACTATCCTCAAAGGAGACATTCCTGCTTTCCCTTTGCTGAATAAACACATCTGCCTGAGATGCTAGATGAAGCTCCTGAATTTTAGCACCGTCAGCAGAACTTCCTGGCTGTCTGGGAAGCTTCATGCTGTATCCTTCAGACTTGATGAGTTTTTATGGCAGAGTGTAGCCTGGAGACTTTGACTGTCTCTCAGGGTGTGGTAAATGAAGGGACATGAAAAGAAAGTAAGATAGCATTCAAAAATGCCCCTTGAACAGAGTGTGAAGGAAAATGATCACACTGAAAACAAATGGCAATTTGTTTTCAAATTGCCTGGGGACTCTTGCTGCTGCCTGTGCCTGGATTTCTATTCTTCTGGAAGGAATTGTGTAGAGATGGGCCACTCCTGCACAGGCTGCAGGCTCAAGTTTCCTGGACAATATCCTGACTTTGGAAGCCTGTGTTTCAGCAAGATATATGTCCATGGGCTTGGGAGAATACAATAGCTGCTTGGTGGCTTGTTAGAAGACTGGATATATTAAACAAGGCAGCACTTTTTATTTTTAAAATTCAGGCTCTTTCTGACTCAAGCATTCCTAGAGGAATAATACTGCTTGCTACCTTGATTTTAATGTGGGCTTATTCATCTTAAAAGTTTCTTGAGAGAGAAAGTGGGCCATTTAAATCTTGCTCAGATTCTGCACCTATTCTGTCTTCTGCTTTGAGATGTAGGAAATCCAATGTAGGCGTGTTCTGTATCTAAATAGTATGAGTGCCACCAGAGAGCTGCACATCTGCAGGTAAATTTTAGGGGAGCTCATTTGGGTCCCTCCAGAGATCAGGAGTAGGAACTGAAACCAGATCTTATGTCCATGAGACCTGTCATGTCTCTACATGACATCCTAGGTGTACCTTGCTGTCACTGCTTTCCACAACAGAAACCCTGTCCCACACACCCACCCAATCCCAAACTCTTACTCCTTCTTCATCCCCCCTCTCTGCACAGAGTGGGCAATCTGTATACTTCTCTGGCCTGCTGACTGCCACTCATGGGCCACACCATTTGAAACTAATAGACAAATGGCTTCCATTTCCCACGGGTGAGCACTTAGAGGGGAAAGGTGAGGTCTCCCCAGCATTGGACCCTCACTACCCATGGGGGGGCATGGACTAAGACACCTGGAGCCCAAGAGAAACCAAGCCAATGGGAGAAATGTTTGTTGGAAAGCCCTTCTGATGAAAAGCTTACTTTGCCATATCTTGATATTTCAAACATTTATGTCTGTCCCAGCCCATTTAGGGCAGAATCCCCAAGCAGCTATACATTAAAATATAAGAGGAAGGTATCTCATATAAAAAAAAAAATCACTAAATCCATGAGTTTTGAAATGCCCAGGAGACCTATTGGAAGGTTAGACATCAATGACCAATGTTAAAGTCAAATAAAATTGGGGGAAATAAAAGTTCCCTTAGACAGAGCTCAGCATTTCCTTCTCACTTCAATTTCAATAGAACACGCAGCCAAGTCAGGGGAGGGGACAGCAAGTCAATTTGGAAGTATAGTTGTATTATGTGTTGTGTCTGTTTTCTAATCAGCTTCATTAATGTTGTATCCAGATGCCATTAAAGTATGATGTATCATTCAAGTGTTATACAAACAAAATAGGAAGCAACTGAAATCTTTCTGGTAGTATTGCCAAATATCCCTCTATAACACTGTCAAAGGTAAGAAGTCTGAGGTGCTCATAAAATATAGTGTTAAAGATAAAGGATTGCCTCCCAGCTATTCTGCACAGCTTGATGAAACTTTGTAATTAGAATATTTGAAATGCAATGCATAATTTCCAAAGCAGGAGAGAGTATGTGTGGTTTCTTTTAAGATCCCTTTGAGTATCCTGCTGTGTTTGTTTCTTTTGTACCTAATGATTTAATGTCTCCTCTTTGTTCCGGTTTTTTGAAAAACTTTTTTTAGTACTTTTTTTTTATGGGCTTGTCTCTTCTTTCCGGCATTTCCGGTCATGGAGTAGGAGGATACTTTTTATTTTGTAATAAGGTTGCTTAAATCGCTTCCTCAATCTCTCTCTCTCTCTCTGGAGATCAGGGTTTCAATAAAAACATTTCATGGGCTCTTAGAATGTTTTTCCTTTGTTGTTCAGGGCTTCGGCAATGGGAAGAGATGGAAACTGTTGTCACAGATCCAGGCCTGGCAAAGTGCGCGCACTCCTAGGGAGATTAACAATAAACTGGGGAGGGAGGCACTTTCAACAGCCTCCTCTTCCCCCTTTTCCTCCTTCCCGCCTCCCTCATGGGACAAACAGGAAAGCTAGCAGTGTCCCCTGGGGTTGATCTGCTCACACTCTCTGGTGTGCCCCCCTCTCTGCTTCCAGGGCCCCTGTGCTGTGAGCAGGGCGTTAGAGATAGAGTAACTGCTTTTATCCCTTTTGACAATATTTACGGCTAAACACTGGAAATTGCCCTAGGAAGCAGCCCTATAAATTTCTCTCCTTGTGACCTTCTCCTCTCCCTATCTTGAAGGTCAAGATGACTCAATCATAGAGTGCAAAAAGGGAGGAAGAACTTTCATGAATGAAATTTGAGAGCAATTCCTTATCTTACTGGCAGCACTCCATGTCTTAGAACCACTTTGTTTAGCCTGGGTGACTGATCACAGGCTGGGAAAACACAGATCTCAGGGAGGTGCAAAGCCTGAACAGGAGATGGTTCACAGACACTTCCCAGGGTCTCAGCGAGAAGGACTCTGCATTCTGCAGGCTGGTGTGCATGGCAGACCAGCCTCTCTAAAACCTACTCTGTGGTGAGAAGAGAACATCTAGGACACACTGGGTCCAGCTGGGGCTTTGTTGACATGCAGCTGCAAGGCCTCCTTTACCTTGTATGTGAGTACTAGGAGACTCCTCCTCTGACCCAAGCCTACACTGTCACATAGGTTGCCAGACTCAGGACTTAACCATGCTCAGAGAGGGCACAAATCTGGAGCTCCCCCAAGGGTCCTCCTAGCATGGTGCAGGGAGAGTTCCAAACTGACTAAGGGGTTACACCGCCCATGTTTTGTCTCTGCCTCTTACTAATTGTGAAGAAAGAAAGTCTCTCAGACAGTCTATAGAGTAGAAACATAATTACACTGTAAGGTAGTGTAAGACTCAAATAAGACAGTGACATGATGGTTTCTCAGCCACCTGGGGATATGACAAGATTTCGGTCTTCCCACGGACCATGCAGAAGCACCTAAAAGGTTGGGCCAAATGCCGTCATTAGGAAACGCAGCCTGCCCTAACAAGGAATATTCTGAAGTCTTAGCATCACTGCACTCTTAAAAGTGTTTATATCACACACAACGTGTCTGACATAAGTAACACACATTCAGCACATAAATAACAGCTTCAGAGCTGAATTCTAGGGACTTAGAAGCAGACTCCCACTACCAAGTGCTGTCCGTACCTCTCATCTTGTTGGCTGGTGGTGTGGCCCGGAGTGGCAACTTCAGTGGTGGTGAACCTATGGTACATGTGTTATTTGTTTACTTTTAAGACAAAAGATGTTAATATATGAGTTTTCTTTTTCTAAACCTGACTAGTACAAGGCCCAATTGGCCTCTTTCTGTGACTGTAATGGGTCCTGACTTTGATACAATAAAACTGTAATTACATTTTTCTAGTTCTCCAAGACATAAAATCAAAGCTTATGACTATTTTCTTGTTTCTGGAAAAATTTCAAAACATGATGAAAGTCAGACTATGTTTTCCAAATTTCTGAGTATTATAACCACTTCCCACAGGCTCCAAGACCAGCTGGCTGGATGGAGCTTTACTCAGGCCTCATTCTGGTATCTTCTCAGACAGTTACCTTGAATGGCTTCCCTGGAAGTTCATTTCTACCACACTCCCTACAAAAGCTTCCAAGGATGACCCTGAACATTGCATACTCCTGTTCATTCTCCCCTCCAGGTCATGCTACCTCACCGGAGGGCCAATGCTTCACATTCCTTTATACAATTCAAAGAGTCTACACTCTAGAGTATCCCTTCATGCCACCTGCTATGAATCACTGGCCAGTAGTTGTCCAGACCACCTTGAACCTGCTCAGGTATCTCTTCTTCATTCACCTCTAGATCCAAAATTGGCCTCCACCTCCCTGCAATCCTAAGAGAGGATTACTAATGGATGAACAGAGAGGAAAGCCAGGGAGTATAATAACCTTTAATGCCTTGGGTACAATGGGGGTCCCATTGCAAAGAGAGACTCTCAAGAAACTTAGCCCTATTGTTCCCAAACTTAAACCCTCAGCCTGTTGGGCTCTAATTGGTTGTAAATGAATTTAGACAAGTAAATTCCAGGAGATTTTTTTTTACCATAATTTCCCATCCCCCCTCATCAACAGATAAAATACCTCTTTGGGAACTGGTCCTGTTTTGAATACTATGTGGTTATTAACACCCTTTCAGTAGAATAACACTAAAAGACTCTCCTTCCTATTCTAAAGTCCTTGAGCCTATAATTAAATCATGTATGATCAAAGAACATTACTCCTATTACCACTGAAATACACAATTTCTATATTCCTAGACAGAGTAATCATCAATTACCAACAAAGCAATGCCCTAAAGCAATGGGACAAACATTTCCACCTTAGAAATTGGCTTAGGCTTTCTTGAACTCATTTAAAGGACTTGCAACCAAAAATGACTACCTTTTAGGGAAAAGCATAGTACTGATGTTGTCTTCACTTACTTCTCAGTATATCCCATAAACTGGAGGAAAATATGAGTGGTTGTCAATTTTAAATGGGGAAATTTTTCATAGAAACAACTGTAAATTTCAGAGTGAGTTCATAATAGACTTGGACACTGCCTTTACTCCCTACTTTTCCTGAATAAGCTTTCTTTAGATATAAAACTTCACTGTTTACTGTCCTACATACTCTTCCAGGTTTTTTGTTGTTTTTGTTTTTTGCCTGTGCGTTTGCTATCTGACTTTATAAGGGGCTTCATACCAATAAAATGGTACACTTCATTTTCCTGTGTTTTCTTGTCATGCAGTTATTCCTTTAGAGATGGATGAAATTGAAAGGATTGCAGGTAAAAAGTGGAAGAAAATTGTCTCAGCATTTTGTGGCTTATTGACTGGAGAGTCAAAGGTCTTCGATTTAAAAGGTCATTGAACATTTGTGGCTTCTCTTATCACTCATAACAACTGAAAAATTAAAATCCCTTTTGTCTCTCTCAAGAATGGTTGATATGGGATAAGATTCATTTCAGTTGCCTTAAAGTTAAAAAAAAAAAAAAAAGATGAATCGACTCATCTAAGTGAAAATACAGGGAGACCAATGACCAAATGTGAGTCATTCAGCTCTGGAAATCACAAAACTTAACACTTTGTTATTTTCTTGGCTGTGTATAGGCAAGGGAACCTTCTTGGAAGGTCTCAATTCTAAGCTATTGAAAAGCTACTGGAATTCTGGACATGACAGCCCTCCATCCTAACGTTCTATTCAAAAGTCCTGAGATCTACCCTGATAGAATTACCTTGAACATTACCTTCCTCTTCAACGGGTGAATATCACCAGAGAAACAAAATGCTGATTGTTCTAATTAAGAGATAACCCCTGAACAGTCGGGTTGATCCAAATTAAAACCACTAATAGTCGATGAATTTGACTTATGAAAACAGTAATTGTATACGGCTCAATCTAATACATGAGATGTTGAAATGTGTGAATCCAGTGTGTAAGCAATGCAGTGATAGGGGTAGAAGTTCCTCCTTGGTTGGTTCCACTCTGAACTAGCTATGTGAACGTAGACAAGTTTGCCAGTCTTTGTGCCTTAGTTTCCACATTTGCAAACCAGAGATGACAGCAACACATACTTCATAGTGTTGCTGTGCAGATGCAATGAGTTAATACATAAAAATTGTTAAATGGCACCTGGCTGGTGGCAGATAGAAGCTATTCTTCTTCTTTTTTGTTTTTATTTCTGTGGATATGCAACGGCCCCCACTTGTCATTGCTCTGGTGTTTCCCTTGTTCTTGTGTGATGTTCCATCTTGCAATCCTTGTCATAGCTGCACTCCCACAGTGCTGACATTCTGGGGGTTATTAAAAATTGGAATAATCATTCAATTACATTTCATCACCCTGGGAAAATGTTGTTTTCATTTCTAAGCTTACCAACAGAGGCTCAGCAGTCAGCAACTTTCAAAGCCAATTAGAGTCAACGAATTACCCGAAGACACAAAATTAATGAAATTTTCTGAGGTGATTGCTTTCTAGAAAGCCCACGGTAGCTAGAGAGGCATGGATTCAAATACAGTGTTTCATGTGCTTCTCAATCCCAAAGGAAATGTTTTCTTTGCTCATTTTCCTCTACCTCTTACAGAGGATTTACTTTGTTCATCTATTTCTTTGTTAAATTCTGGCTTCGGTATTATTAGCAGCATCCTAGCAAAGTCATCTTTGCCCATCCCTTTTTCTTTAAGCAGAATTGTATCAAAACCATTTCCGCCTAGATGGGTAGCCACTCGCAGGGTGCCTTCTTGCAGGAAGCCCAGCTTCTAAGTACTATGCTGTGCCTCACTGGGCTGCATTTGCCAGCAGTAGCAGGCAGTAGGCAGGGCAGAGGGTGGAGGCGAAGAATAATGACACTAGCCAACCCCTCCCAAGTGCCACTCCTACTAGCAACCACCTGAGTGCTGGACACCAGTAGAGGGAAGTAGGTTGCTTCTTCCATTACATAACTGCTTTGACTGCATGACCTTTATGGTTCTGTTCAGCTCTACACTTGTTAGAACCCAGGGATCTGGGACTTTGGTGATGGCCCTTCTTTTCACTTCTACTCTAAATTCCCAGGGAAGCCATCCACTAACATACTTAATCCAGGGATAAATATAATTCCAGGCCCCAAGAGCACAAAGCCCCACCAGGCCGTACCTGGTTGTGTAATCACCAAAGAGTCACCATCAGAGCTACCCATACAACACAATTCAAGGGCAGATACCTACCACATTGTTAGGGCTCAAAATACACCTCTTAGTATGGTAACTTCACATGCTTTGGAGTGAAAGAAATAGAAAAGACATCAGAAGCAAGGTCTCCGACCTCCTGGTCTTCCTCTCTTGCTGCCCTTTCTCTCTGAGTCATTCCACTGGGATTCCTGTTCCCTAAGGTGGCCATGGAAACTAGAACCCTTCATCTCCATAGCTAACCATAGAACCTAGAGATATTACTCTAACGTTCCCTGCTTTTTTTTTTTTCATTGAGTTTATTGGTACATTTTAGGTATACAGTACAGTCACGTTCATTATTGGGATCTTGTACCTTTACATGACAGGTCTTGGTTCTCATTTTTTCCCCTTGTCCTTGTCCTCCCTCACCTCCTCCTCCCTTCTCCATTTACAAGCACTTTACTTCCATTTTTTCATTTTCTCATATTTTTTTCTTTTCCCGTATTACCTTTCTCCTACTTTTCCCACTTTGCCTACAATGTTCCCTGCTTTTTGGTGTAGGAGCTGGCCATAAAGAAAGCCTCTGACCTGCCTTGTCTGACAGAGAATCTTAGGACCTTCACCCTAGAAGGTTTCACCTATATGCCCACAGCACAGAGGCCAAGGAGACTTTGAACAGCCTTGCTCAGTCTTCCCCTCAGTCTATTAACGCTGTTTCAAACCCTTCTGTCATTATGATGCTTCTATATGGCTATCCACAGCATTCCCTGGGTCTTTGGATCTTTAGTTTCTGAAGGCTCTGTGTCACATAAAACTTTTACTATATAAGTTTGCACATTTTCTCCTGTTAATCTGCATTTACCAGTTTAGTTTTCAGGTCTGTCCAGGAAACCTAAGGACAACAAGGAAACTTTCCTCACCTGCGCCATTTGCCTGGGTAATAAAGCCATTGTGTGGGAAGCACTTCTCATTCTTTTCTGTGATGCCAAGTTGTCATCACCACTGAGATATCAGTCAGCTTTTAATGAGTGGGAGTCAATGCAAGGCAACTGTACTAAGCTCTTTGACTGTGTTGTCTCGTTGAACTCTGCAGTAACTCTCTGGGTTAAGACATACTAGCCCCATCCTATGCATAAGGACACTAAAGTGCAAAGAGATTGACTAACTTGCCCAAGGTCCTACAGTTAATCCAGAACATAATGAAACCAGGACTTGAAACTAGGTGTCCACCTCCTTTTCAAATCCATTTCATTTTTGTAGTGTCCATGGTTTAGAGTTCTTGGGGGCAAACACACAACATTCGCTTTTCTTTCAGCCCCGACACCGTATGCAGCATCCAGAATCCAGCTGAGTACCTACTCAAACCTTATTTGCATTTCCCTAATATTCATCCTAGGTACTCATGGTCTTGAAGTAGTGTCTCTAAGGTTAGCTGGACTCCACTTCTGAATTCAACAGTACATTTCTGACCTGTCTATTTCTGCTTTTCACCTCATCTAATCATAATATAATCCATAACTACTGTGCTTAGTAAACAAAAGCAAGAGGTATTAGTTTTGGAAGCTATCACAGGTATGAAACGAATTCAGAAAATTTGGCTCTTGGCCTGCTGAAACTTGAGGAATCAAGCAAGTACATGTTGTTGGTCAAGTTTGGGAATTTTTCTAAAAACGTGTGGCTGCCTTAACTTTCATTCCAAATTCTTTGGGTGCTTAGCTGGATGCTCGATGTGCAGCATTAAATTTAACTTCTCAGCCCAGAAAACATCCCAGGGTTGTTAAATGCACCAAGGTACTTGGTAATTCATCTTACTCAACATTTTCACAGCTCAGTACGCATGCATTCATTACCATAGAAATCACTTTAATGTTTAACAAACATATCTGGCATGTTCTCAGCATTCACATCTTCCATTTTCATCTAACCTGTCACAAAATGCGCTGTGTGTACACAAATAAACAATCGGTGCAGAGATGATTTATCACTGTGTCTCAGGAAAGCCAATACAGGTTCACATTTTTGTACGATAGGGGTTTTTCATTCCTCAAAGGCTCTGGGCTTGGGTAGCTGGGATTGCCAGCCTGAAAGGTCCTTTTCTGTTCAAGACCCAGTTGAGGGTTTGTGCCCTGAGCAAAGGCTTCCCTGAGTAGTAGCACGAGACTTCTCATTCCCTCGGGGTATCCACATTCACTTTGTGCAGCATTCACTTTCCTGTGTTTTTAGAGTGTGGTTGCTGTTTCTCCAGGTTGCTAGGTCGTGGGAACACAATCTCTTCCATCAGAATGTGGGGATTTGCTGTAGTGTCCTCCATACTGTTGTTTTGTTTTGTTTTTTGTCTTTCACACTATTTTGTGTTTCTCTGTTAATATCCTGTAAGTACATGTCATTTTGGGGAACTGGGATATTAGATTTTGATGTAAATCTCCTACAAAGACCCAACATACAAGGAGTCTGCTATGTAGTCACCAACAGGAGGGTGTCCTAAGGAGAATGTGAAAAAATATACAGGCTGCTCCTTTCTTTTAGGCTGCGTACAACTGACTCGTGGAGTTAATATCTTGTAGGTGAAATAATGACAGCATAAGTTAGTAAGGTAGATGTCTTAGTGTTCTTGGATGTACAACTTCAGTGAGCTGGGACACTGGGCCACAATAGGAGTCACAAATCTACATGAGACTAATCATCTAGGCCTATACCAATTAGGAATTCTGCATGTTGTTAGTTCACAGAATGTTTTTAAAATGTTTAACGTGGTTGCCAAGAAATTTGTAAAAATAGGATATATCACCAGTATCCACATTCTTGGCTTCTCTTGAAGAATCAAACGTGTTCCTTTTCTTAGAAAAGATCTATTTGCATAGGGTATGAAGCCCTCAGATTTCCACAGTTCTCATCATTGCCTGCTTTCTTGTCAACACTGAGGTAGAGGATCAGCTACCATTTATCTCTTTCCCTGTATTTTTTGAGTGATAGCATTTCTTTTCAAAATATGGGAAAGATAAATAGCCCAAGGTCATTTGTCTATTAAGAAAAGACTTGGAATGGGCAGATATTTCTAATGGAAGGGAAGTCTATTCCTGTGTGTTTAACAGGAAAAGGGGTCAAAGTAAAAGAATACAGCTTAATGTTCCATTATGAAGTAAACCATGGTAAGAACGGTGATCACAGAAATGGTCAGGAGTACTTTCAGCTACATACAATAGAAAAATCCCAAAATATTGGCTTCCTCAAGAGCATTAGGAGCTCCACAAAAGTGTCAGAGACACTGGCTTCTTCTGTCTTTTTCTTTCTTTTTTTTCTTTTTTTTTTTTTTGATGATTCCTAAGGATTTTTATTTAAATAGTTTGAGTAAGAAATCTATTAATAGTGTTAAATCCAATTTAAACTTCTATGCTTTTTGTAAATAAAACCATAATAATTCAATGTTTTGCACTCATTAAGAAAACACAAATAAGTTTAGTAGCCTCTTTTTGACTTTCACATTTTCTACAATTTACAAAACCTCCTCGTTAAACTTGAAGATAACTTCTTTCCTATGTGTCAGGTGTTTACTTCTCCCTACTTTTAGGGTGCTTGGTTTCAGACATTTTGGACATAATTTTACGCCTTTCACTCCTGCCTTGTGAACCATCTCATATTGAGGAACAACTGTAAAGCATCTTCTGCCGTAGTCACATGGGCAGTAAGCAGAAAAAGGGACAAAAGATAGCCCTCCCTTAGGACCTCTGCCTACCTCTCGTTGATAAGGACCCTTATCATGGGTCTTCTCATAGCAGCAAGAAAACTCAGAAATCAAGTTCCAGCCATTGGACATGAGAAAGACAGGAGAGAAGAGGATGTGAATGGCTCTGGAGTGAGCCCCTCACGTTGTCCCCACTACCGGAATACAGAAGGCCATGACTGAATAGACTAGGGTCCTAAGGGGAACCTAAGGGATATGAATGAACATTTCACTCCCCTCATTTGCATGAACCTGTAAACATCTGGAGTGGCCATCCATGGCCTGTGACATTTGCTAATTTGTGCTAGATACAAACTTGAATCATAAAGGCAGAGGTCTGGTGTGTGAGAAGAGTCTCTCTGCTGGATGTCACAGCCTATGGCATCTACCTCAGATGAGGGCTTTGATTTCCTATGTTATGTCCCACACAGGAACATTGGAGAAATAATACAATTTTTTTGGTAAGAAATAGCCCTAAAAACAAAGCCAACCAGCTTTATAAGTAACTTAAGTCCTATGTTTATAGAGTCATTAAAAGCACTTAAAATTTTTTACTATGTTTTATTGCATTGTATGGAGGATGCTATTATGTTGTCATAACATTTGCAATGTTGGAGATTCACTGAGGCTTTGGAATGTATCTTTGGTGAATTCTAGAGGGCTACTATATTTAATAACCTATTAACCATGTGGGTGGAAATCTGAGCACTACCTTAGGGAGGACAGGGACAGATGAATATGGGCTAGACTGAGCAGGAAGATTCTCACAACTCTTTTCTGGCTAATGGACACATGGGCAGGCTGATTTAAAAGAATAGATTATGGCCCAGAGATTTAGCTCAGTGGTTCCACCACCTGCCTTGCAAGCACAAGGACCTGAGTTTGATCCCCGGTACCAAAAAAATAAATAAAACAAAAAAATACAAGAATAGGTTACTTTTTCAAGGACTCGGCTGTATCTGTTACCTAGAATTCAGATGTCTTGCAACTTCTATCTAGAAAACTTGGATAAAATATCCAAATAATCACAAAGGCCATTAGGATAGCCAAAATAGATCTCATGAAGTCAATGTACTAAAATACAAATATTTTATTCCTAAGAATTCACCACTCTGAGACTATTTACCCTGGCATTACTTGAAAGGTCACTGAGATTGGGTATCAGGTCTCTGTTATAAGAACCGAGATACATCATGTAAAGGTACAAGATCCCCATGATGAATGCAACTGTATTGTTTACCTTAAATGTACCAATAAACTTAATAAAAAAAAACAACTTCCAACAGAATATTTAGTAAAAGAAAATATTTCTCCTTAAAAAATAAAAATTAAAATAAAAGATTGTGTAGGGAATGACAAGTTTAAGAAGAAAATACAGAAATCAGCCTACTCATAGCAGCAAGAAGTTACATTAACCTAACAACAGCAAAGAAAGACAGAAAAGGCATTCTGAAAATAAGAACCGAGAATTCCAA